AGGGGGCAGGAGGTGATGATGGTGGTGGAAATGAAGGGGAAGAAAATCGTGATGCGATTGTATGGGAAGTTAACAACGGTGATGCAATTGAAGGAGAAGACCACGATGTTGCAAATGAAGTAGAAGAGGATATTATTACCCACAACCTGAGACAGCGTTTAGAGGAGCACCTAGACCACCTGATGGAAGGTAGAGTGATTACAACTATCCTGATGGAGAACTTCATGGTGTTCTTTGGACACCTCTTGTCAGACAGTTCATACCCAGTGCCGCAACGAGCCATTGGGGTTGGCAGTGCCTTTGAAGGCTGGAGTCCCCGGGAGGAGGATGTTGTGTACCGTGTCCTTGTACCTCTCAATCCTCCCCCGGGGCACACCTTCCATCTGGAGATGGACACCTCAGGGCAGTTGCCCGGCAGGAACTTCTTCATCCGCGTGGAGCCGGTGTGCACCTGCCCAAGGGAGCAGCAGGATGACAACGTGCTGTGCTCCCTCCACCACCACCCAGAGGATGAGCAGAGGAGGAACGAGGAGCCCAACTTCCTAAACACCCTCGGCACTGGTTCCTACCTGGATGTGGAGAAAACTGCCCGCTGGTTCTACCAGTTGGTGAGAGCGGCCTGGCCGGCTTTGCCTCAGTCACACAGTTGGCAAATAGTGCTGCTGCCCTCCAGCCGCTGCTGCAAATTCAAGGTGACCAGAGGCAGAAAGAGCCTGACGGTTGAGTTGCTCTTTGGAGTGCGAGAAGGCAATTCAGACATCTATGTGAGCAGCCAGCCTACAGAGGCCCTCTTCACCCCAAGCACAGTGTGGCCTGAGACCTACGCCGTGGCAGAGATGAAGTTCTTCAAGCTCATTGCCCGGCAGGATCCACTTAACAACTGGCATCTCAAGTGCCTGCATGTCTTGGCCCGAGCTCTTCTGGGCATAGGTTTCTCCACCTATACCCTGAAGACAATTGTGATGCACCTCCTGAACACCATACCTGTGTTGCGGTGGCGCATGAGGCATTTCCGGCGGCGGCTGGGGAATACCATGGAGTACCTGCACGGTTCCCTGGAGGAGAAACGCCTTGACCACTTTGTTGTGGGCAACCGGACATTTCCTCAAGAGATTCTCTTGCCCCCTGATGTCAAAACCGCCGAGCCACCCAACCTCTTCCATCGCCTGGCTCAGGATCCGGCCGCCCACACGCAGGCGATGAACGAGTACTGTGAACTGGGACATCGACTCGCAAGAATGCTGCACGACGGCCGTTGAAAGAAGTCTTCCTGCACACAGCTGTGCTTGGGGGACTCACAGCTGGTCAAGGACAAGCACCTCCTACCGCAAGGAAAAAAGAGAGGAGCATGTGGGACAGAGAAAGGAAAGCGCTTTGCAGCAGCGCTCTGCCATCAGCATTCCCCTCTGCCCAGCACAGCCTGCAGTGATGGCCTGGGGGGCTACAAAGATGACTTTCATCCTCCTTTCCCCTCACACTCTCACGGCCATTGTGGCCATTTTAGATGGGCCCAGGAATTCTTTCTGGTACCTCCAGCTGCTCAGGGATCAAGTGATAGGCATCGCCACTGTTGCTCCTTGTGTTCGTGGTGGCCTGGCTGGAGAATCTGCCCATCCCAAACCATATCCCTCATTGATCCCTGAAGGGCCATCTTTAGGTCAAGGTTGCACTCACCCTGCTGGACCTGACCTGAAATTTTTTGGATATAAATTTAAAAGTTTTTCTGTAGTGTATATATATATTTAAAACTAATAGGCCATAGAGATATTTACTATAGCACATAGATATATAATTTATTGACTATAACATTATTTTTATATAGGGGCATAGCACAAATAAATCTGGCCCCACTTCTTTTTAATATATATATTTTAGGTAATATTACATATATCTCTTGATATTTTTTATAGCACATAGATAATTAACTTGATAGAAAAATATTTTATATATTAATATAGCATTAATAAATCTCTCACAGTCTTTCCGCATGTCCCCTTAAGGGACACCTTCAGGTCAGCCTTGCACCAAGACTGTCATCCCTTGACTCTGTTGGAGCTGACCTTAATTTTTTAATATATAAATACATAAGTTTATAAATTTTTAGATATAGAGATAATATATACTGTAGGCCATTTATTTGATATAATATTATTAGTTCATAAGTATAGCACCAATTCATCTGTCTCAGCACATTTTAATGCCCTGTAGTCACTGCATTTAGGACTGGAATCCAACAACTCCTTTCTCCTTGCTTCAATAAAGAGTGCTATTCTAGAATCTGGATTGTGCAAGTTTGTGTGGAACACAACCAGGCCCAGAGGCTCGGGAAATCACACTAGTTGTGAGTCTGTGCTCGTGAACAGTAGCACTGAGCTCGACCAAACTGAGAGTGCTGAATGGCTTCTCATCCCAAATTAGGCCTCCTGCCACCCGGCCCCTCTGCTCATCGAATCACAGAATGCTTTGGGCTGGAAGGGATCTTCAAATTCATCTGGTTCCAACCCCCTAGCCATGGGCAGGCACACCTTCCAGTAGACCAGGTTTCTCCAGGCCCCAGCCCACCAGGCCTTTAACACTCCCAGACCTGTTCTCTGCTCTTCTCCTTCCCTCTCATAGACTGGGCATTTTGCAGCAGGCGCCTCAAGAGAGCAGAGCAATCCTTTTGAAGGGGAGCTCTGTGCAGGGTAGAAATGCAGCCACCAATGGCCTCTGGCTGGAGCCAGAGATTTAGGGATCCCCCTCGGCTCCTGCAGAGGCACAACAAGTGAAGGGCTGGAGAGCTGCTTGCCCTCTGCAGAACGTCCATCTTCCCTTGTCTCTAGTTGCTTCCTCATGGTTTTAAAGCAACCTGAGCAGGGGGAGTGAAAAAGAACCCTTTCCAGACGCTTGGCTGCCCCAAATCACCCCCACTGTGGAATAAAGGATGGCAGTTGCCGTCAAAGGACCGGAGGAGTTTCTTTCCTTCCCTCTGGCAGCTCTTCCTTTTGTAGGGGGATCGTTTCTCTTGTGTGGGTTTGAGATCCTGGATCCCAATCTCACTGAATTATTGCCATGGGTGGGAACCAAGTCCCTGGGAGTGTGTGTGTGCATGTGGGGAAGGGCTGGGCCTGGACCTGCAGCTCCCTGCTAAGGCCTGCACATCAGGCCTGTGCTGAGGGCACAGGGCAGAGCTGAAGGCAAGGCCTGCTGCCCATGCAGAGCACAGGCCAGAGCTGAAGGCCCAACACATGCCCGTGTCGAGAGCAGAAGGCTGGAACAGGCCCCGACAGCAGTGGCAACAAAGGCCAGACCCCTCCAGCACAAGGAGGCAGCCGAGCACCCCCATGTGCTGCCAGGGGCATTTTGGGGGCACTACTGAGCCAGTCCCTCTGGAGGGATGGGCAGTTCCCAAGGACGAAGCTGAAGCACACTGAGGTGTCCAGACTCTGTCAGGGCGGCAAAGCGGAATCCTGCAACCACTGTGGCCCTGCTGGAAATGATATCTCTTTTCATTAACTTGTTAATAATTGTCTTTAATAATACACAGTCTGTTGAATCACTTTCCGCTTGCATTCTGCAGCATTTGACATAAGCTGCTCTTGTGGGAGCACAGCTTGGGAAAATACTGAAACTTTCCGTTTTGATGAAGTAACTCTGATAGGGAGAGAAAGGTGTGTTGCTGAAGTTGGAAATTGAGCATGCAGAATTTATGGACCACAAGGATATTTTACAGAAACCAGAAGATAAAGAAGAGACTAACAGAGACTCTCAGTATAGGTAACGGAAAGTCCGTACCAGGGCAAACTCATACTAAAGAGATTAAAAATATGGACTTAATTCGCATAAACTGGGAGGAATTAATGACCAGTAGAGGAGAGATTACTCCTTAATGAAAGGGAATTATGTCATTTAGAACCAATGAACATTTGTTTCTTTCTTTCCTAAAAATTAATAAAGAGGTGAAAAACAGTTGCATTGGAGTCTGTGTAGAGGCCGGGATTCTGTAGGACATGGACACACCCAGGATTGTGAATAAAGTAATGCCTAACTTTCTAACAGGATAAATGCAGTGTTAGAGGGTTTTATTGTGGCATGGATTTTGGAGGATTTTTGGTGACAGGTGTACAAGTCTGATGAGAAGCGTTTGAGAGAACTGGGTGTGTTTAGCATGAGGAGAAAGAAGTTCAGGGGGGACCTAATCGTTCTCTACAACAACCAGAAAGGAAGTGGTAGCCAGGCGGGGGATGGCTTGTTCTCCCAGGGAACAAGCACTGCGACAAGAGGAAAGGGTGTCAAGTTGCGCCAGGGGAGAGTTCCATTGGATCCTAGGAAAAATTCCTTCACCAAAAAGCTTATCGAGTTTGGGAACAGAGCGCCCAATGAAAAGGCTACCTCCCCACCCTTGGAGGCATTTAAAGGGTCTGTTGATGTGTCATTTGAGGACATGGTTTATTGGTGGAATAGGCAGTGTAAGGTTGGCAGTTGGACAAAAGATCTCCAAGGTCTTCTCCAACCTCCGTGACTCAGAGATTTAACTTCAGCTCAAGCAGTGTGGAGTCAGGGCTTGCACTCCAACACCCTCAAGGGTCCCTTCAAACATGGCTCTTCCATGTGACTGCCACTGAGGAACAGATGAGAATAAATGCAAAAGAAAGGAGAATGGAAGTTCTTGGAAGAAGATTAACACCAAGGCAGCCTTAAGCATTACACCAGGGCTACTGGAATTTGCTGAGCCGGGGTGGGGACGAAGGGCGGGGCTGGCCTGGCTGTGATGTGATGTGGCTCTTGTGACATCACAGGCATTGTGTCACAGTGGGGGCAGCTAGAGATGGCCCCAGCAGGTAACGCTGCCCCAGTCGAGCCTGGACAAGTGGTGAGTGCACACACGCAGGGGCGAGGCTGCGCTGGGCGAGGGTCGGGGTCAAAACGCTGCCCCTGGGGCTGGGTTCTCCCTCTGCATCCAGGGCCAATCCCTCACCAGAACACCTGGGGCACCAAATGGTGCTGCTGCTCCTGGGGCAGTGGGACAGGCCTTGCTGCCTGCCAGCTGCCCTGGGGCCCTGTCCTTCCTGCTCCACATCCCCGCTGCTCCCATTCGTACTCCCCTCCCCTCTCGCTCCTTCCCTCCCTTTCATCCCCGCTCAACCCCTTCTCTCTCTCCTCCTGCAGGCCATGGCTGCGAAAATGTTTCTTCTCGTGTTTTTGCAAACCCTCATCCAGTACCCACAGATGGTGGGTGATAGGCTGGATGAGGACACCCGTCTGCACATGGAGCTGCGTGCAGAACTCCTGGACAGAGAGATGACTCGGCTGCTGCAGGAGCTGGAGCAGAGCAGCCTGGAGCGCAGTGTCAGGGCCTGGGGAGCCCTGCTCTGGGCTGCCTTGCAACAGGGTGACTTCTGGGCTCTGACTGTAGTCCTGGGCCTCCTCTTGTGGCTGTGGTTTGTCTGCCGGAGAAGGAGCCACGAGCCAGACAACAATGGCCAGGAGGAAGAGGAAGACAGAGAAGACCATGAAGATGCCTATGAAGAAGAAGAAGAACTCACTTTTGAGAATGCCCTGAGATGGGTTTTAGTGCACCTGATAAAGTGGCCTGTTCAGGATCTGAAGAGAGGTTGCAAAGACACAACTGTCCTGATGGAAAACTTCACATTTGTCTTTGGACTACTCTTGTCAGACAGTTCATACCCAGTGCCGCAACGAGCCATTGGGGTGGGCAGTGCCTTTGAAGGCTGGAGTCCCCGGGAGGAGGATGTGGTGTACACTGTCCTTGTACCTCTCACTCCTTCCCCAGGGCACACCTTCCATCTGGAGATGGACACTTCAGGGCACATACCCGGCAGGAACTTCTTCATCCGCGTGGAGCCGGTGTGCACCTGCCCAAGGGAGCAGCAGGATGACAACGTGCTGTGCTCCCTCCACCACCCAGAAGAGCAGAGGAGGAACGAGGAGCCCAACTTCCTAAACACCCTCTGCACTGGCTCCTACCTGGATGTGGAGAAAACTGCCCGCTGGTTCTACCAGTTGGTGAGAGCGGCCTGGCCGGCTTTGCCTCAGTCACACAGTTGGCAATTAGTGCTGCTGCCCTCCAGCCGCTGCTGCAAATTCAAGGTGACCAGAGGCAGAAAGAGCCTGACGGTTGAGTTGCTCTTTGGGGTGCAAGTAGGCAATTCAGACATCTACGTGAGCAGCCAGCCTACAGAGGCCCTCTTCACCCCAAGCACAATGTGGCCTGAGACCTACACCATGGCAGAGATGAAGTTCTTCAGGCACATTGCCAATCAGGCTCCACGTGACAGCTGGCACCTCAAATGCCTGCAGCTCTTGGCCTGTGCTCTGGTGGGCATAGGCTTCTCCACTTACATGATGAAGACCA